AGCAGCGGCGGTGGCGGCGAGCGCGTGAGGGCCGCAGCCCACCGGGCGGGAGGTGAGCAGTGTAGCGAGGCCGGGCCGCGGGGAGCGCCGGGTCCACTCAGTGCTCGTCGCTTGCCGGCTCGGCGAGGAGGGCCGGAGGGCCGGCGACAGTTCGGCCGAAGTCCGGCCCGCGGCGGGCAGAGAGGCCGTGGCTGGGCCCCGGAGGCCTCCCGGGAGGTGGCTGTCGGCTCAGCGGAGGGGGGCGGGGGGGACAGTGGTGGGGGTGCTGGGAGGGATGGAGGTGGGCGAGGGGCTTCCGTAGAGGCGGGGAGGACCGGCTCCACACCGGGGGACTCGCCAGCTGAGAGAGCCGGGATTCCCGACGGAGAAGCCCCCGGGGACTTGGCCACAGTTAACGTGGAGGAATGTGGGGAGCGGGGACGGGAATACACTGGAAGTAGCCAGTTGGGGGAAATACTACTTTTCTGCATCTGGAAGGGCCGGGATGGAAGAGTGTTGAGTGAAGGTTTGATGAGCGGCGGGCAGACTTCTTTGCCTGATGCAGGAAAGGGAGGGTGCCGCCAAAGTCCTTGGAACGGTTTCCATCTCTACCAGTGTTTTACAGATGCATGTGCCGCCCCTCCCTTTCTTCTTTCTTTTCGGTTTTGTGTGTATGTGATTCGAGAGTAACTCAAGACTGATATTTCTGGAAGGTTGGTTTCTGATTACACAAGGAGGAATTGGTTGCTGTAGAAAATCTAGGCTATGTAGATAAGCAGCAAGAAGTTACTTGTCTCGGCTCAGCATTTTTAGGGGACCGAGTTTGTAGCTGCTGGTGGTTGCTTTCAGTGGCTTCATTATATCCTCCGCGGCCTGGAGGTTGTGAACGGCCTGGAGAGATTTTATTCAGTTGGAAGCTGTTCATTGAAGTGTAGCGATTCATCTGGGGGAAAAACCGGCCCCTTGTTTTCGGTGTGATCTGCAAAGCCTAGTGTTGCTTTCTTCAGGTATAGCCATTGCTGCTTTGATCAAATCTGGAGCCTCTGTAGTAAATTAAAAAAATAGAGTGGAAATGTGGGGATGAATAAGTTTTTTGCTCATTTGGGATAATTAAGTTGTATCTGGGATTAAGTAGACTAAGGTAGAGACAAGAAAAAGATTTCTGGAGTGAGGAACATATTACTTAAAATTTTAAGAAAGGGGTTTGTCCCTCCGTTACCAAAATAAGAAAAACTTTTTATAGCGAGCTGCCCATTGTAGGTGAAGCGGATGTGCAGGGAGACTGAATGAATGACTAAACTCAGGGCTGCAACGTTCATGACTGGTGAGCTGGCCACCTGGCATTTTAACTCCAGATGTGTTCGAACCTACTGCTGAACCCATTCACCATGTGACTTCTCTGCATTTGGTTTTTATTTTCAACTGGGAGATCTGTATTCAAGTTGGACAGATTGGCGTGTTCACATTTTTTTTTAGTATCTTTCAAATAAATCCCAGGGTGTAATGTACTTTTTATATTAGAATCAATGCAGAGATACAACTGTGTAACATTTAACAAAATAGTGCTTGCTATTATGTTGCTCGTGGGCTGGTATTTTCTATTCTACTTTTAAAGTGCTGGTCACAGCCTACAGACTTGATTTCCTGACCTACTGCGGGTCAGTACTCTGTTTGGCAAATGATGTTTTGTAGGATAGGCAAGAACTTCATGGAACTGTTCTCAGCTGCATCTTGATACTAGCTGAGTTTTTAACTTTTTGCTTTGTGGTCTCCTTCCTGAGTTCTAAGATTTTTATCCTTTGCTGGATTTGGCAGTCTTTGAGTTTTTCCTTCTCAAGGTTGTCTCTCTAACATCTCTGGTTAATGGAGGGAAGTTCCCGATCGGTGTGCCTCAGGGTTCCAAAATCACTTGCATCAGTATGTAACAGTGGTGGGTCAGGGCTGGATGATAGAGTCAGAGAAAGAATGATTTGGTAACTTGATGACATGCTTGATCTCACCAAATGTGTTTGCATTTGAGATGTGGCCCCTCCTCTCTTGTAGGGCATCCCTGGTTAGGAGAAGCCCTCTAATTAGGACCATGTTTTGAATATTTGAGAGGATTGGAGATTAAACCACAAATAGTGTTTCATTTTTTTGCATACTCTGTATAATAATATTTAAATGCGGCAAAACTGGTTTGGGTGGGCTAGCTCTCACTCACTAAGGAACAGAGCAGTGATCTACCATGCTGTGACCTATCACCACACTTATGAATGGAAATAGGTTCTTCTCTGATCATGGGTGAGTATCTTGATGCTCCCAGAGAAGCCGGCGTGAAGCCTGTGGGTTGTGGAGCGTGTGTCCAAGCACACTTGGTTCACTTCCTTCGTGAATCCCTCTTCTGTGAGGAGCAACGCGGCCTGTGTTTGGTTTATTATTTGGGCTTCTTGGCATTGTAATGGCAAATAAATTTGTTTTTCTGTGAAAGGACCTCATGAGTGTGTCCTAGAGTGTGTCCTTCATCAGCCCTAAGTAGAGACTTTTGGAAGAGTGGCTGGAATTCTAATTAACACTGGAGCTAGTGGAGAGCAAAGGGTCAGGCTTTTTTTCCTGGTTACTTACTGTTTTCTGGTAGGTTCCAAAAGGTGTGGGAGATGGTAAATGAACTCATTAATGATTTCTCTTTTGGTTTGTAAAATAACTTCTTTGTTGGTAACTGAAGAAAAGTAGAAGTGCCACTTAGAAAATTGGGACCAAGCAAAGTGTGTTATGGAGAGAAAAAGTACATTGGCTTTTTTTCCCCCTCAGGTAAATGAGCTAAAAGAGAAGGGCAATAAGGCCCTGAGTGCAGGCAACATTGATGACGCGCTACAGTGCTACTCTGAGGCCATTAAGTTAGATCCCCAGAACCACGTGCTCTACAGCAACCGCTCAGCGGCCTATGCCAAGAAGGGTGACTACCAGAAGGCTTACGAGGATGGCTGCAAAACCGTAGACTTGAAGCCTGACTGGGCCAAGGTAAGCTGTGGGCGCACTGGGGCTCTTCGGACTTCACAGATATGCCTTCTGGTACGCTGTTTTTACATACTGGGCCCTCCTGACCTGGCTTGTTGTGTGTCCCTGTAGACGGATAGTTGATTACCCGTCCATTCTCCTCCCTGAGTGTGTTCCTCAGACTGATGGTACAGGTCGCCAAGTCTGAGATACCGTCCATTGTTGAGACGGGTCTTATCTCTTGTACTGCTGAGAGAGAAAATGCTGCCAAAGAAACGGACAGCCCTGGGTCGTAAGATAAACTGAGGTGGGGAGGGTGAGCATCTTTGATACTTGTCTGGATTCTTCGTTCTCAATCTTGGCATTATGTGCTCCTCCTCCTGTTCTTTGGTCCTCGCATGAATACCCGTTTTGTCCCATGAAATGTAGAACAGATTCTTTAGATTTCATCTTCTGGACTTACCTCTAGATGTCCTTTGTTTTGTATCCTTTTTTGCTGGTTTAAGGGCTATTCACGGAAAGCAGCGGCTCTTGAGTTCTTAAACCGATTTGAAGAAGCCAAGCGAACCTACGAAGAGGGTTTAAAACATGAAGCAAATAATCCTCAGCTCAAAGAGGGCTTACAGAATATGGAGGCCCGGTTGGCAGGTAGACACCAATACACTGTTGGGGTTTTTTGTTGTTTTTTTTTTTTTTTTAAACAGGGTTAACTTTGAGGCTCCCCGCCTAAATGTCAGGCTTATAGACTACAGGGGCATCATGGCTCAAGGGAACCGATTTCTAGTAACGTGCTTTCCTTTGTTCGGAACAGAGCGGAAATTCATGAACCCTTTCAACATGCCCAATCTGTACCAGAAGTTGGAGAGTGATCCCAGGACAAGGACGCTGCTCGCTGATCCTACCTACCGGGAACTGATAGAGCAACTACGAAACAAGCCATCTGACCTGGGCACGTAAGTCAAGGCAGCATGGTTTGTCTTTGGAAATGGACGTGGACATTGTGCTTCCTGGGATTTTTATGGTCGGGCATAGGGGGAGGAGGGTGTCCCTCACTCACACAACAGTGTTTCTGTCTTTGACTTTTCTCTAACGAGCGGTAGTGTTTGTTGGTTGTTTATATTTCTAGAAAGGGTCAAGGGGGACATACATCAGAATAATTTGGAATTTTTATTCCTAAGTTTCCATGCCTCTTCACTGCTCTACTCTAATTCTGATCTGGCACCCACCCTATCCTTTCCATGCACACCAGATGCTGTCTCTTGGTACGTTGGAGTGGAAACTTCTGGTTGAGAAGAGCGTCAGGTGTAAAGATGTGTTTCTTAAGTCGTACTGCTATCTGTGACTCCTGAGATGAGATGGAGTGTACCTATAACTCATTCCTCTGTGTATCTTCTGCCTTCAAGAAATAAATTTGACAGTTGTTACCTCGTTTTAGATGGATTGTCGAAGGATAGGGTATTTCTCGGTGGTACCTCGTGGATAGTGCAGAATCCAGCAGTTTTTCTGTGGAGGAGAAGCTCTTGTATGCAGTCATCTGAGATTTAGCAGTCAGTGGGGGTTTAAAATTAGTTGTGAAGAATAATTGTGGTTTTCTTTTCTTTTCTTTTCTTTTTTTTAATCAATGCTAGGAAACTGCAGGATCCCCGGATCATGACTACTCTCAGTGTCCTGCTGGGGGTCGATCTGGGCAGTATGGATGAGGAGGAGGAAGCTGGAACACCTCCCCCACCTCCTCCTCCCAAGAAGGACACGAAGCCAGAGCCAATGGAAGAAGATCTTCCAGAGAATAAGAAGCAGGTCTTGTTTTTCCTCCTTATTGTCACACATTCCTAAACAACCTAGTCAGCCAGCAGTCCCCGTCAGGCAGGAGCACTGTGGGTCGGGGCGGCTGTAACAGTTTCTGAGCGTCCGGGTGCTGTTGTTACCAGGATGGTCAGTATGTTAAAAGGTTGACTTGCCAGGCGATTTCATGAGAATGGTGTAACTCAGAGACTTGCAGCAGGGGGCTGTTGGGGCAGGCCGGTAAAGTTCTGTGTGTGATCCTTGTCCTCGCTGGGATCCAGAGAAATGTTGTCTACACCCATCTAATTTAGGCTCCTGTTTTCTGGTCGGATGTGGTGTGTAGTTGAAAGTTGTCCACTTAGCAACACAGTCTTCCAGAGCAGGAGGCATGTGCTTACACGATTTTATTTCCCTTCTTATAAATGGAAACAGCAGATTGTTGCCAAATTTAGCACCTTCAGATGGGTAAGCGTTGGTTGTTCAGGGTGTCTCAGAGCTGGAAAAGGGCCCTATGATGTGGGTGGTAGCAGGCTATGCTGAAGACTGCTGCCACTGGGCCAGCCCCTTTTCATCCTGTCCCCACCCCCCTGCCGCTGTTCCCTGACAACTGAGACCCCCAGAAGGCCGCGGGACAGAAACCGACTTGGCACAGCCTCTCCCAGTAAAACCAGGCACAGAGCTGCTGTCCTCTTGGAGGTTGGTGCAGGCTGGAGAGATTTCCTCTCCCCCAAAGAAGCTCTCTGCTTTCTGATAAAATGCAGGAGAGTAGATGGAAAGGGGGGCACTTCAGAGGAAGTGGAGATGAAAGTTTTTAATTTTCTATTCCAACACTTAGCCCCTCACTTTTCAGTTCACAGCTGGTTGAGAAGATGCCGGCAGATGTGGTGACCTGTTGGTTGTACGTGCTGTACGGGACCGGGGGTAGGTCCCAAGCTCTTGCTCTCTCTGCCATCTGGGTTAGATTTGCTCAGTACTCCTTCCACACTTCATCTAGGCGCTGAAAGAGAAGGAGTTGGGGAATGAGGCCTACAAGAAGAAAGACTTTGACACAGCCTTGAAGCACTACGACAGAGCCAAGGACCTGGACCCCACCAACATGACTTACATGACCAATCAAGCAGGTGAGGCCCAGGCCGAGGGGTAAGTGCGTTGTCAGGCAGTCCTGGGGAGAGACAAGGGCTGACTCTTCCTTAACCATCCTGCCTGGCAGCCGTGTACTTCGAGAAGGGCGACTACAGTAAATGCCGGGAGCTTTGTGAGAAGGCCATCGAAGTGGGGCGAGAAAACCGAGAAGACTATCGACAGATTGCCAAGTACGCGTGACCTTCGGCGGTACCTCGAGTGGTCTGGAGGGGTCAATGTCCAAGACTTAAATTTTCCTGCATGGGGAGGAGGGTTGCTGGCCACACCACCTGCTCTGTTAACAGTGGGCTGGAGAGGAGGCCGCAGGCATCGAGACAAAAGGTGTTTGGAGGGCGTAGTGTCCCAGTGGTGATGGGGGCCTTATTTCTAGTTGCCGATGTCTTTTCTCTGCAGGAGCTGACCTTGTCCCTGCTCTGCCCTTAGCAGATTCTTTTTTGCTTGTTTTTGTCAGAGCTTACGCTCGAATTGGTAACTCCTACTTCAAAGAAGAAAAGTACAAGGATGCCATCCATTTCTATAACAAGTCTTTGGCAGAGCACCGAACCCCAGATGTGCTCAAGAAATGCCAACAGGTGGGTAGGGAAAGAATGGGGATGTTTTCTTAAGTTCTTATTCCTTATAGTTGCAGTTACTTAGTAGTGAACCTTAAGTTTTTTTAAGTAGTGTTTTTGGTCATTTTTTATAATGTCCTTGTCACATGATAGCACATAAGGAGTAACTCAGGTTGTTTGCTGTACTTTTTTATCGGCCAAGATTTAAACCTTCTGCTGAGGGTCAGTGCATTGAGTGTTATGGTTCTTATTGTAACTTAAGATTTTTTTTTTACCTTACATAACCAAAGTGTCATGTATTGTGCCAGTGGTCATAAACTATGGGGGGGGGGGATTTTATTCATGAAAAGATTGGTCAGAAAAAAAATTTTTTTTTTTAAGATTTTATTTGAGAGAGTGCTTGCGCACACACAAATTGTGAACAGGGGCAGGGGGAGAGGGAGAAGCAGACTCCCTGCCAACCAGGGAGCCCCATTCAGGGCTCGATCCCAGGGCCCTGGGATCATGACCTGAGCAAAGTTAGACGCTTAACCGACTGAGCCACCCAGGGGCCCCAAGACTGGTCAGAAAATTGTGTTATTGACACATGGATCATTTTCAGGGGCTTGCTTGCCTTTTTTGTTTTGTGTGGGTTTTTTTGTTTTTGAGTGAGGGGAGGTGGAAGGGACAGAGGGGGAGAGAGAGAATCTTAAGCAGGCTCCACACCCAGTCTAAGCTGAAACCAAGAATTGGACGCTTAACCCAGTGAGCCACCCAGGCACCCCACAGTGTACCTTGATAATGAAGAATATGTAATTTTCTAAGTAATCTCTGCACCCAATGTGGAGCTTGAACTCACAACCCTGAGATCAAGAGTTGCATGCTCTTTGAACAAAAACTAAAATGTTGCCCACGGTACTTTTTGGAAATCAAAATCCGCATCAGGATTTTTCTAGTGCAATATTTATGTTCATGAGAGTTTAAATGATTATCCAAAGAATTATTTTTTCTTAGGCGGAGAAAATTCTGAAGGAACAAGAGCGGCTGGCTTATATCAACCCTGACTTGGCGTTGGAGGAGAAGAACAAAGGCAATGAATGTTTTCAGAAAGGTACATTATAGCCCAGGTGATGGAGCTTTTGGATAAGAGTCGTCCAGAGCTGTCCTCTGTGCCTCGGCTGCCCGTGTGCTAAATAAATAGTCCCTGGTGTGGGGGAGGGTGGCTTTTTGCTTTCTAAAAAAGTTTCTTTTTCCTTTATCCAGGGGACTATCCCCAGGCCATGAAGCATTATACAGAAGCCATCAAACGGAATCCAAAAGATGCCAAATTGTACAGCAATCGCGCTGCCTGTTACACCAAACTCCTGGAGTTTCAGCTGGCGCTCAAGGTGGGCAGGTCTGGGAATGTGGAGCAGGCACTATGGTAATTGACCTGTACGTGAGGAATGCGGTTTTTTTTTCTTTTCCTATTTTCATCAACATTTGCTTGATGGTTTTACTTTGATCTTAGAGTCAAGGTGGTGGTGTGTGTATGTGAGTTTTGTAAAATGCAAGCCTGAAGTCTGCTCCGTCCTGGCTTGTGGAGTTATATTAGTGATTGGGAGTATTTGGAAAACTGGATCTTGGGGGCACCTAGGTGGCTCAGTCTGGTTAAGCGTCTGACTTCGGGCTCAGGTCATGATCCCAGCATGCTGGGATCGAGTCCCGAGTTGGTTCCCTGCTCAATGTGGAGTCTGCTTTTTCCTCTGCCCTCCCCTTCCCCCCACTTGTGCACTCAGGCACGCGCTCTCTCTCTCAAATCTTTAAAAGAAAGAAAAGTGGGGGCACCTGGGTGGCTCAGGTGGTTAAGCGTCTGCCTTCGGCTCAGGTCATGATCCCAGCATCCTGGGATTGAGCCCCGCATCGGGCTCCCTGCTTGGTGGGGAGACTGCTTCTCTCTCTTTCTCTAACATTCTCTCTGCTTGTGCTCTCTCGCCTTGTTAAATAAGTAAATAAAAGGAAAAAAAGAAAAGTGGGTCCTTTTCCACTTTTCCTGATGATAGATTCCTTTTCCTTGCTGTTCTTGTTCTCCCCTTCCCCTTTTTTATTCTAACCTTCTGAGCGTACAGGTCAGTGGTCTCCAGTGCATTCACACTGTGTGCAACCCTCACCACCATCCACCTTCGGAACCTTTTCATCTTCCCAAACTGAAACTGCACCCTTTAAACACTGACTCCCTGTTCCCTCTCCCCCGGCCCCTCGCGGCCACCGTTCTGCTCTGTCTCTGTGAATGCAACCCCTCTAGGGACCTTCTGTAAGTGGAACTGGCCAGCGTGTGTGCTTTCGTGTCAGGCTCATTTCACTGAGCACCATGTCGTCTTCCTTTTGAAGGCTGAGTGCTGTTCGGTTACACGGACACGCCATGGTCCGCCTGTCCCCCTCCTCCGTTCTCCGTCAGCAGCACTGGTGGTTCCCCCCTTGTGGCTGCTGGGGTCCTGTGTCTGTGGTGGGGGGCATGTGGCCTCTCTTGGGGGGCCCCAACTTCAGTTCTTTTAGGAGAAGTGCTGTGTCACTGAGTAGTTCAAGGTTTAATTTAATTATTTTTATTCATATATTTTTGGGGGGAACCACGGTATTGTTTTCCATAGCGGCTTTACCATCTGCCCTCACTTTTTAATTAGGTCAGTTAGCAGGTGTGCTGTTCTCGGTCACATTGGGCATGGTCAGGTGTAGTTCTGTCGACACCATGAAGGGAGTTAGTCTCCACTGCTCTCTTGAACACAAACTGTCCGGTGCTTCTATTGGCGATTTTTAAACCATTCTCTAGATGACTATCCGTGCTGATCAGTAGATGACTTTTTTTTTTTTTTTAAAGGTTTTATTTATTTATCTGAGAGAGAGAATGGGAGACAGCATGAGAGGGGGAGGGTCAGAGGGAGAAGCAGACTCCCTGCTGAGCAGGGAGCCCGATGTGGGACTCGATCCCGGGACTCCAGGATCATGACC